TATATATATATGCAATTGTGATTTTTGTTCCCTGAGTGGGTCTCAGAGTAGCAACCCACTTATGGAACTGGGCTTACCTAGCGCCTCAATATTGGTTAGATCAGTATTATCTCCCACTAAAAGAGACGAGTGTTTGTTGAAGAAATGGCTGATTCTAGGTCTGGGGAAGGATAAGTATCCGATCTGTTAGGAACAGTGTGTGACCGTTAGAAAGGAAAGAAGTGGGGACATGTCGAAACGGTACTGAACCCACACAACGGTGCCTGCTGGTTACGTTAAGAAAAGTACGCGAGTACCAGGAAAAGTAAATTAATGATTATATAGCCTGTTAAGAAAAATAGGAATGTCCAAGTCCACAGTGGAAATGAATTAATAAACTGGGGATTTACTGGGAAACAGGATATTTACACAGTCTTAAAAGAATTCCCCCACTCTAGTATTTGTTAATCACAAGGCATAAAACCATCACTTGCCGATGAAGCGGCCTGGCAGTCACCATTGTAATGAAGTGATGGGTAAAGGTGCTATAATAAGTCAAATCAAATTAAAATGCGGGCTGGGAAGATAGCTCAGTGGCATAAACACCTGCCTAGCAAGCGCAAGGTCCTGAGTTTAATCCCTGGTACCTAAATAAATAAAATAAAATAAATCCTGGCTCCCCAATTGGATGCAAAATCCAGCATCACTTCTGTGATATTCCTGCCAACCAGGTGTAGTCTGAATCCAAGCAAAAGAAAATACGGAATTCAAAATGTAAATCGAGGGACATTCTATAAAATAACTGGCCTGTAATCTCCAAAACTGTACTGCTTATTAAAACCAAGGAAATGCTGAGACCTAGCTCCTGATTGAGGGACACACAACAAGTAGACAAATGAACTATTCTCCACAGGGTTGTGCAGAAATATAATTTCAGCTTTATTTATGTAGTGCTGTAAGAAAAGGTACTTTTTCTAGCATGTAGGAAACAAATATACACTGAAGTGTGTGGCATGGTGAGGAATCAGGATCGCAGACTTACTTTACATTAATTCAGAGAATTAAAGCTGTTTGTTGTATTGTGTTTGCAATGTTTCTGAGTTTGAGAATGTGTTCTTTAAAAAATTGTAAAAGTTAAATCTAATTCTGGAATTGCAGATAAACGGTGCTGATGCAGTTAAAAGTTTTCTCATTTTTTTATTATGGTTGAGTCAAATTTAAATTCTAATACAAAACACTTAACAGACATAAATCTAACATTTTGTGGGAAACAAAACAGATGTAGTACCTAAAAACTAACTTTTTAAAAAGGAGTAATATAGTAATTTTAAACACTGCAAAGCTTTGCCTGTAGGAGAGACATAAATAAGTGGTCTTTAAGGAAAGCAGTGCTGGGCAGCACTTTTCGGTCTACTAAGGTACAATCTGTACCGCAGAACTGATGGGCTACTGCAGCAGCAGCCACAAGTTGTTAGGTGGTAACTTTCACACAGAGCAGTATTTGAATTCCCATTCTACCCCCATCCCCACCCCAAATGCAGCAAGTTAGAGTCTCTGAGACTATGCAATTCTTTCCCTACAGGAAGACCTTCCTATTCAATACTGTGTTTCAAAATCATAAAAGCTTCTAGTTATGCAAATTAGATTTAATACATATTCCTTTAAGAAAAAAATTTCAGGAAATAGCATATTTTACTTGTGAGATTAATTTATGGTGCATTTGATCTCAAGCAGAGAGATAATTACCAAGGATAGAAAATACATTTGTTAAGTATTCAATTGATTAAAAATTTGCTGTGTGTTACTCTTAGCCAAGGCATCAGATCTAATCTTCAGAAATTGCTAAGTATTGTGACATATGCATTGATACTTAGTTATTATATTAGAGAGAATATTCTAGAATAATTTCAATTGTTAAATCTACATTCAAAGGAAGAATGAATCAAAATCACGTCAGCCCAAGTAAACTTCCCTTGGAAGATGACAAACGTCTGTCATGTGTTCAACTCTTAAACACGGTTATTAGTTTAATATTCTGTGTCACCCTTTAACAGAAAGGAGAAGAGGAACCCTACCTTCCCCACCAAAAGCAAACAGGCTAAAGATCATATGAAGTACCATCTGACACAAGTACTTACAAGACTGAGTGATGTGTATAAAAGGGGAGACGGGCCTTGCGATAGGAATGAGTTGAAGAATTTATGGATCGATATATATTTATATGAGACTCACTGTATATATTTTTTTCACTCATCGAAAGAAAAATGACCCACACAGCATTGCTCCCTGCTGTTTTCAAAACACAAGCAAAAGGCAGGCACGCCCATTATGCTCCTGCGTAGCTCTGTCTGTGCTGTTTAAATCTTAGTTTCCAATCACATTTACGGCACCAGTTGGCAAACACTGCATCTTGTCAACTGCCAGTCACTCCATCCTTAACCCTACTGAATGAATATTCAGATACATGGCACCATTCATTATGTGCAAATAGCTATTATATCCTGAGGCATCCCTCACTGAGGCTATATAGTCTGATCTGTAGAAAAGACACATTGAGTAGCTACAACCCATCCCAACCCTACTCTCATACTGTACACTTTATTAAGAGTATCGCAAGCCAGCCTGATGGCACAGGCCTATAATTCCAGCACCCTAGGAGTCGGACACACAAAGGTACCAAATTCAAGCTCGGCCTCACCAACTTACAAACATAAGGAAACCAGCTCAAGTAAAAACTAAAACAGGGCTAAAGATGTAGCTTGGTGCAAAGGCCCGTGTTCAGTCCTCAGTACCATTAAAATAGCATCATAAAATGAAGGTTAGCAACATAATCACAGCAAAAATTCACTTTAGGAGCAAATACCTACTTGGTTTTTTTGTTGTTTTTTGGTTTGTTTGTTTGTTTGTTTGTTTGTTTGTTTTTTTCAGAACTGGGGATTGAACTCAGGTCCTTGAAGCACTTATTCTACTGAGCCATCTCCCGGGCTGAAATACCTACTTGTGATGAACAGTAACAAAATACTAACAATTGCCTGTTTAGGAAAAACACAATCCTATCATTCTGGAAATTAATTTTAAAATATTCATCAAATATCAGTGGAGATATAACACAGTCAACATACAGTAAGCTAGAACTTTTAGCACATTCTGAGATTTGTGTGGCCAGCCACATTTTCACAACGATTGGAGTAGATAGTTTTCATGTATTTTAATACACAAAAGACAACGTTTAGTGCCTGAATATTCATAAGTGCAAATCTGGGGCAGATGAGCTTAGTTTAACTAAAGCGATCTAGTTTTCTTCATGGTGTTGAAGCTGATAGCAAAATGGTACCCATAAGTTAGCATTCCAGAGCAGTGCTGTTATGGGGGCTTTTGTGTTTTGTCTTGCGCTGTCCCTCTACTCAACGGCGTTGTGTCCCCCGATGACAGCCATTAGTGAAATGAGGCTCTCACTTTGCGGCCCTTCAGAGGCTGAGGTGGGCGATGGTTGCTCAGCAGAAAAGCTGCTTCTTCTCCCTCTGCTGTGCACAGGAGGCTGCGGAATTTGGCTAGCTGTTGCAAGCAAGAGGAGGGTTAGTGTCAGAGTGGAACGTCACATCAAGAGTAATGAATCATGTAGACAAGTTGAGAAACTGATAGATGTTCCTCTACCAGGAACTGTAAATACTGCAAGAGAAATTGTCTAAGCTATGCTTTTTACATCATGAAGGATTCTTCTAATTTGTTTTGTTCTACAAACACTATTCAAAAATTAAATATCTAAGCATTTTTTGTTCAAAAAGCAAAGCCACAAGAGGAAACAACATGTAGAACACGGTTTAAAGAGCACACATGTAGAAATCAGAGAACGGTTTTACTTGCATTCACACACACAGACACTGGGCATGCTTTTTTTTTTTTTTTTACAAAAAAAATGGCTGCAATTACACATGCTGTTTTAAACCTGATTTTTCCACTTAATATATGTCATTTTGGAGGGCAATAAGCATAAATTTATATGACTATTTTTGATTGATGAAAGGCTCTATTATAAATACTTTACTCAGTTGATACTTGCTTTGCCTTTTTGTCTTCTTTTGACAAGGACAAATTAACAAATTATTATGGATGACAGCTTCCATCTCCTAAACATTTTTGTCACCTAATCTCAAAGTCAAGCAAATTTAGACCAGGACATATCAGTTAGGTTTCCATCATTATCATTTACTACAGGCCCCAAATATTTCTTGTATAGTATTAAGCAGAAGAGAAAGCTGAGCATGACACACGCCTGTAATCCCAGCACTTGGGATGTGAAGGCAGGAGGATTCCTGTGAGTTTAAGGTCAACCTGAGCTCCACAGTGAGTTCAAGGGCATCTTGAAGTACCTAGTGAGATCCTGACTGTAAAAATCAATTAAGGGGGGAGGAGAGAGAGGGGAGAAAGGGAAGAGGAGAGAGGAGAGGAGAGAATAAAGCAAACAGTGGGGGAAGGAGGTTCTTCATAATGAATGGCAATCACTCATGCCCCAAGAAGATGCAATTATTCATCATAAATAAGAAACTGCACTTTCACCAGTGATACTTTGGGTTGCCTTTTGGACTTCAGCTTAAGAGCAAGCACCATACAATGGTTACAGCTTACCATTGCTCATGTTTCACTGGACCTCTCATTATGGCTAAAACCAGATGACAGTTGAGGGCCTCTCTGGTGCAGTCAAGCAGCACAGGCTAATCTGACTTCTGGAAAGACCTCTAGCCTTCTAGAGACCTTGCTAGTCTAGGTCGCTGTGGAGAAGCTACTCCAGGTGGTTGTGCATGATGCTGAGTTGTACACCAGGGTGCTCGTCTACGGATCTGATCAAAGACAGCCTGTCTCCCCAGCTGATACCCCAGAAGTCCATGGCTTTATTTTACATGCACGCACACACACTTCAGCTACTCTAGACAACAATGATGGCTCTCTTCTGCACCACCTTAAGCCTCATCACTTTAGAACTGAATCTCGCTTCAGATCACTTTCTAACCAGCTTGCTCACTTTGGTGAGGCCCTAAATCTGTCCTGACTTATTCATCAAAACCTCTTCCCTCAAGACTTCTCCAGTTACCTGACCCAGCCAGGTGGGCGCCATACTGCCAAAACCTACACAGAGCTGCTTCCTGCGACTCCCAAGTCCGCCCTGATCCTTCCTGTCAGTCACATCTTCTCAAAACAGGCACAGGTTCATGCAGGCAGAAAATCTGCTCCTCTGTCACTCAGGCTGGCACAGCACACACCAGGGCCTGCAGGAGCCACCCAGGTTCAGTCTTGAGGCTGAGGTAGGTGGGGCCGGCGTTGCTGGTTTCCTCGGCTCTAATGCTGAAATTCTAATTTACTTGTGGAACCACCCAGGAAGATGAAACACTTCTCCAAAGGTTCTGTAAATAACTTTGTGTCACGCTTGAGCTCTAACATCTTGAATAGCATTCTGTAGCCTGCTAACACTGAATAATAACAAAAATAAGCTCTTGGACAGAATACGGTGCTCCATGCATCACACTAAGTATTTTTATTGCATTCTAATTGTAGCATTTAATCCCCCAAGTTACCCTACCAGGAATGAACAATTATCCCAGTTGACACCTGAAGATCTTAAGAGATAGCCGAGAAGTTCCACTGAATAAGTTCTCTGGCAAATAAGCTATGAACTAACTGCAAAAGCAAATTTCACTTCTACTTTCATTTTCCCTCAATTCTCACTAATTTCTTTTTCTTTTTTTTTTAGATTTGACAACTAAATCATTTATTTATCTGATAATTTGCCAAGAACACAGCATAGAATGCAAATAAATAACACTAAATTGTATTACATAGTTGCTCAGTACACTGCCTACAGTTATGCTGCTTCATCATTTTTGTAGTCTGACATGAATATTAATGCACTATTTTTGTCTTGCACGTGTAATATTGCAGATGACAAAAAGAAAGAGTATCTATCTATCTATCTATCTATCTAAGAATACAAATCAAATAATGTTATAGGTATGACAGACATGCAGATATTTTGGTATCTTTCATTCTTTCCACTATACTAGCAATTTGTTTATTTATTTATTTATTTATTTATTTTTT